AAGATGGATGGCGAGGCTCTGAAAGCACTTGACTTAACACAATGAAATTATAGTAACACAAATTTAACTTTAAAATTATATAAAAAAAGTGCAGAAAAATATTAATGGGTCTAATATGCATGACAAGAGCCCAATATCTAATCTAAAGTTACTACAATAAAATCAATATGTACTATTTATAAAATTCAAAATAATAATAGTAATAATAATAAACAAAAAATGGTTAATAAAAAAAAGCAAGAATGAAATAATTAAAGTAATTAAACTATTTATTATTTGAAAGAAAAAAAAGAAATTAAACAACTCAAACAAAATCAAATATACAGTGACCTTAATATCCATCGAACAAACATGCTAAGCCAGCATTAGCTCACTTTTACAATGGCTTTCTCTTCTTTCATGGTGTCATGATAAACTTTCCATCCATTTTTCACATATCACGAAACAAACATGTTTAATAAATGATAATATCACACATTGAAACCTCAGATAAACCGCCATAATAGCACGATTCAATGCATCAACATACCCTCTATTGGATTCAGCATGTTACAAGAATTAAAAATAAAAAATTAAACTCTTTTAGCAGTAAGTGAATCTAATAGAGTTAGAGATATATGAATCTCATTATCTTAGCAAGGCTACACATGAAATTATCACACATAAACATCAGAATAAGATGCACACTCCCCTTCCTTACTTATGTTCTCAAAAACAAAAGAAAATCATTTGAATTTCAACAAAGCAAATAATAAAGCTCAAAGTTCAGAATTTTTAATCCTCTCATAATAAAAACACCAAACCATGACAATCCAATACAAACAGAAACGGCCTGCCTCTAGGGCTGGCAATGAATCGAACCAACTCGAAAATAGTTTGAAATTCGATTCGACAATTAAATCGTTGAACTAGGTTCATGAACCAAATGAGTTGAGTATGAGCGAAAAATTAAGTTCGTTAACTAAATAAGCTGAACTTGAACTATACATAGTTCGACTCGTTAGGTTCATGAGTCAACTCGATTATATATGAGAAGAATTATATTGTCTTTAAGATTAGGTTTAAATATTTACTTCAAATCTTAGACAAATTTAATCTTCAATTTAGTAATTTTTGAATTAGAATCTCAAATGTATCTCTTGAAAGTTGTGTAGGTTTTGAATTAGTAGATTTCGAAGATAAAGTTAAATTTCAATATGATAACTTTTATTTTATTTTTAAAAAATATATTTATTTAAAATGTCAAATATACTAAAATATATATATATTTAAAAAAATAGTTTTTAAGTCCGTGAATCATGTGAGCTGAACCTAACGAGTTGAATCGAATTGTTCGTGAACTTATAACGAGTCGAGTTTAAGCTTAAAAAAAAGTTCGTGTCGAACTCGAACTCGAACCAATTCTTAACGAGTCGAGCCGAGCTGAGTTCGACTCGACTCATTTCCAGCCCTGCCTGCCTCCCAAGCTAACAAATTTCAACAAAAAAAACCGACAAACTTACTCGTACTAAATGCATCGCCAACAGTAATTAAATTGAACAATCTCATGGAAAAGAAAATACAATACACTATATCAAAAGAAATCTGTGAGGGAAAACCGTCATACAACATACGATCTTGAGTTTCGATGATGACAAATTGCAATCATGGATGAATCGACATTATCAGTTCTGTCTCTACAAAGACAAATGCAAATATTCCGTCCACCATATCCTTCCTAAATCATTTAAAGTGCTTTACTCAATACAATATATGTGAATGATATGTGGTTATGACTAAATCCACAACTAGAACCTTCACCGATTGAAGTTTAACGCATATGGAGTACACTTATCACTAAAATTGAATCTGAACATCGAGCAATATTCAACAAAAAGTTGCCGCATAAAAAACGAATTGTTGCTAAGACTAAAAAACCAGACTGCAGACAACAAACAACGACTATGAATTGAAAACAAGAAGCCAGTCCACATTAATTGCAGAATTCACATAAACGCGAAACCGAAACGGCAGCAATACCAAAATTAATTTACGAAGTAATCATAAGCTGTTATGCAAGATTTGTGATATAACTTAACAGCAATGGTATATACGTAATCGAAAATTGAAATCAACAATGCAAATAACATACTGTCACATGATAAACAGTGTAAACTTAACCGAAATCAAACTGAAAACCAACACATATTTAACACCAACAGCAGTGTGAAACAAAAAACTCATAAAATGAAATCAAAATAAATCGTCTAAACAATGGAAGTAGCACCATTACTTAATTATAGCAGCAACATAACAATAGGTCACACAATCAAGTAAAATAACATGTCAAAGCTTTCGACCAGATCCGTGTATATACAAATGAACAATGTAACAGATAAGTGAAAACAACAACAAGAATAACCTGTACAGTTTCAGACGCGCGAGCGGATCTGAAGCCAAATATTACCTCTGCGAAAAAACGGTATTGCGGCTGAAATGTTTGTTGGTGCTGCTACTTTCGTTGAAACTGAGCTTCATAAGATGTTATTGTTGTTGCAGCTTGTCGTGTGTTGTACCGTTGTTATCGTCGAACAGTGAGAGGCGGAGGAACTCGTCGGCATGAACAATAGCGGATCAGTGAAACCGCTTGAAGCTGCAACAAATTTACTTAACAAATATTTCTCCCAGCAAACGTGTTCCTTCAATATGATATTCAACAGTGGTTTTGGTTGTGTTTGTGGGTCACATCCGGCGAATTTACATGGCGGTTAGTGGTGGCGGACAAAACGAAAAATTAATGGTGGTAGAGGTTATTAGTTTGAAGTTGTAATGGGGTTTCAAAGGTGTGTGAAGCAAGTCAGAGGAGTACAAAGAAGTATGGTGTATCGACAAGGATTTTGAGGCGGCTATTCTGGTTTTTTCGTTTTAGGAAGAAAAGCGGATGTCGTTAGTGAAAGGCGGCAGGTTTTTGCTGTGAGGAGAGATTTGAAGGATAAGAAAATGATGATGGACAGTTTGTGGGGTTTGATCATGGTGATGAAGGTTGGCGGTGAGAGGGAGAAAATGAAGGGGATTGAGTGAGGCGGCAGCCGATTTGAGGAGAGACCGAATTTAGGATTTTGGAATTGTCGGACATAAACAGTAGAAATTCCACCCTTTATACTCAATTTCCTAACCCTAATCCCAATCACCCGTGATGCTTCTCTCATCTTCTTTTTGATTTTCTTTTAATTATTTTTTTTTATAACTAATTTATTTCTATTCTAATTAACTAACCTAAATCTAATTAATTCTAATCTAATTAATAAATCTTAAATTTTAACTAACTAATTAATTCTAATTCTAATTAATTAACTAATCCTATTTTCTAAATTATTTTCTAACTCTAATTTCTAATTAAAAAACATATTCTAATTCTAATTAAGATTCTAATTTTAATTAAAATTCTAATCTAATCTAATTTAAATTTTAATCTAATTCTAATTTAAATTTTAAATTCTAAATTAAAAATCTAACCTAATTAATTAATAATGATAAATATATACAAAAATAATTATCACGTGGGGCTAAAGTGAAATGTATTTTTGCCGGAAAAAAACGTTACGCTGTACAAACAAGGTAAAATAAAAATTAAGTCGGACGAATGAAAATTTTGAAACAGGTAGAACAAATTTGAGATATGACAATGATCAATAAATTTGACATCAATAACTTACAACAACTACAACTGAGGATCAAAAATGGATTGACATCTGAAATATGGTTATCTAAATTTCAGAAGTCTAAACTTAAATGCATAGGAAGAAAATAGTGTATCGTCCTCTTTAGATCAAAAATACTAAAGCAATTATGTGATGAGTGATATGTAGCCAAGAATACTTGCATGACTTGCCTATGAAATTAAAAAGAAAAAGAAGTGGAGATTGTTCGCTCAAATAAATATGGTCCATTTGAAGTGAAATCAATGAAAGATAAATGTTATTTTCTAATCTATATAGATAAATTTATCATGTACACGTGGATTTACTTAATTGAGAATAAAAGTAAAGTATTCACTTAGTTCTAAAAAAATTTAAGTTGTTTGTTAAAAAATAAATTGAATGTGACATCAGGAGATTGAGATATGCTGAAGATAGTAAATACTAAATATACTTCAACTGAGTTTTCACAATTTTGTGGGAAAGAATAAATTGGGCTAGAGATAATAGTAGAATTGCTGAAAGAAAGAATAAAGCAAGCTTCAAATGTCAATCTCTCTTTCTAACTTAAGATCTAAAAAGAAAGATCTCAAGTTAGACATACAACAAGCTTCGTCGAACTAAACCAAACTAATATTAAAATAACTAAACCAAAGCGTTATACTAGTGAACCAAACAAAAAAGTTTGAAAAACATTTAATAGTTGGGCTCTTTAATAAAAAAATATCTTTTAACAATTATGATTTAATGCTTGGATTTCAATTTGAAAAAAAAATATCTTATAACGATTTGAACCAATGATTTTGATTGGGTTCAATTAGAATCGAACGGGTAAATTTTAGTTCGAATACTTTTTTAATATTGATTTAGTTCAACAACCCTAATCTCTATTTTTCATGCAGCTCTCCATTAATATTAGTATAGTTTTGAACTAAATCAATGATACAAATACACATAATAACATTTATACACAAAAACCATATTAATGGAGGAAATAGAGAGGATCTCTTCTCCCTTTATGTGGTGATTGCTGGTTTCTTAGGACATGAACATTCAGTTTCTTTCCAAACTTTTTTTTCTTAAGCATAATGCAAAAATGGTCTAGAACATTGCAACAGCAAATATATAGATAATTCAAATACCAAAACATACAAAGTGTTTATGATGTCAAAATGGGATTTATCCCATCGACAATAAATTGAAAGCAGTAAAGTGTTCACATTCTCAAAACCATTGAACCAAACACTGCATACGTTGTTCTGTCCACACTACAGTTGAAAAACAGCAACATTATAATTATCATCACCATCATCCTCTCTGATTCTACTGCTGGGCGCACTGTACCCTCTGTGCCCCGCCAGGCATATCATCATCTTCATCATATGCCTCGTGTTGTTGCTGCTGTTTCCTCCTTGTCTCCTCTTCCATATTGACATCATGAAGTGTAGTTTCCTCGCACTCATCAAGCTCCATGTCTGTCAACTGTGATGAAGGTTTAGCTGGAAGAACAGCCTCCAAACCCTTCACCTGATCAGGACTTAGAGTCTCAGGGAATTCCACAGTAAAGTGAATGTATAGCTTGCCCTTCATAAAGGGCCTCTGGTACATCGGCATTCCCTCGTCATTAATAGCCTTGAATGAATCTGCATAACCAGCAACAAACTAAATGATAATTGTGAAACACTAACACGAATCGAACACCATAAACACCTTTGATCAGAAATGTCTAGGCTACGTAGAATCATTACATACCAGGCTTGACAACTTCTCCAGGGTTTGATTTGATAAGGAGTTGGCGACCATCCAAGTGAGTAAGCACAAATTGGAAACCACATAAAGCCTCAGTGAGGGACAATGTGTGCTCTACAAAAAGGTCTTCACTCTTTCTTTTGAACTTTGGGTGTTCTTTCTGCTGAAGCACAAATACGATATCCCCAGTAACTGTGTCTGGCTGTAAAACACAAAAGCTCAAAGTCAGTGAAAACTCTATACTTTGTGATGTTCCAATGCAAATATCACTAAAATTATCAACGTACTGCTTCATCAGCTTCGCCAGGGAATGTAATCTTCTGACTATTCTGCATTCCCTTCTCCACATGAACTTCAAGTACTTTCTTTTCTTGCACAACCTTCTCTCCCTTACACTGTGGGCAGCGATCTTTATCATTGATAGTCTCGCCAGTGCCCTTACATTCATTACAAGGGTGCTGCATTTGCTGAATCATTGATGGACCAAGGTGCCGAATAGAAACCTTCATACCAGTTCCTTGACAACCAGCACATTTCATGGAAGCTCCAGATTTAGAACCTTTGCTGTAAATTATTTCAAATAAAAACCAAGTTAAGTAACGTTGTCTCTGAAATGAGGAACATTTATGCAAACAAAAAGACTAGCTTGCTATTGAATTAGCTTATTCTATGCTTTAATTGAGTTTAAAACACGGCATAATATAGATTTCTCTGTAGAAAGAAACTTTCCTCAAAAAACTACTCAAAACCAAAACTCTTATGATACCTACCCACTGCATTTCGAACACAAAACATTCCTCGAGAGAGAAAGCTTCTTAGATGTTCCGAGATAAAGATCCTCCAGAGAGACCTTGAGAGGGTGAACAACATCTTCTCCACGCCTCTGCCTCCGTCCTCGGCTACTACCACCGCCACCACCACCTGATCAATGAACCAAAACTCGTTCAACATCACCAAACCATACAACAATTAAGAAAAGAGCACACCACATAACACAAAACCAGAATTCTCACCAAAGAAAGACGAGAAGATGTCAAATGGGTCATGGCCGCCGCCGCCGCCACCACCACCACCCATTCCTTCCTTAAGAGCATCCTCACCATATGTATCATATATCTCACGCTTCTCAGGATCACTCAGAACGTCATAAGCTTGTGCTAGCTCTTTGAACTACACCCCAATAAATCAATTCAATAAAAACACATAAATCAATTCAATTATTACTAGAACCAAACTTTGAGAAAACCTAACCCTAACCCTAAATCAATAACAAACACCTTGTAAATTTAATACACGTCCAAAATCAAATCAAATAAATCAAAATTAGAGAAAAGAGAAACCAATTAATCATCCATACACCAGACAATTTTAATCAAATTGACATCAACGAAAATAAATTAAATTTTAAAATTAAATTTTAAAATTAAATTTTTTGAAAAAGATGGTGATGAAACCTAACCTTCTCGGGATCACCACCTTTATCAGGATGATTCTTAATAGCAGCTTTCTTGTAAGCTTTCTTCAAATCATCCTGAGACGCGTTCTTAGAAACACCAAGGATTTCATAGTACCTCGTACTATCGCTTTTCTTCGGTGCTCTCCCAAACATCGTTGTGCTCGAAAATCTAGTACAGATCGAAACCTAAAAGCTAAGTTGGAAGAAGCGATCAAAGAGAGGAAGAAAAGGAGTTCTAGATCGGAACAAACTAGAAAGAGAAGGAACAAATTGGCCACGCTAGTTTGTTATATTGGATTTGGTTGGATTGTGAATGAGATTGAATGGACGGTTGTGATTGTGTGGTTGTTAGTGTCCCACAGAAGAAGGGTCTAGAAGAGTGGAACTAGAGTACGACTTTTGATTCCGTGTTTAGGTGAGGAGAAAAACGTGTGAACCGTTGGATTTTGAAACTTGGCTGACGTGGATATTTGTTCTGGATCCTTCTTAGCAAGCGGTGCGAAGACATTGTGGAAATTAGTTGCTGGTTCTTGGAAAATAGTTAAAATTGGATTATATGTATTCTTAATTATTAAATTTATTTTGGTTTTTATAAAGAAAGTATTCATGCAAATTATTGTTTTTTTGTTCGTATTCAATTGAACATTGACATTACTACGCTCTTAAAGATAACATATAACATAGGACGACTTTAACGACGGATATTAAGATCATTGAATGGTTTGGGCTAAAGATAAAAGTTTATTTCTCTGGCTTAAAAACACTATAAAAATTTGAAAATGTTTTTATGATTTTAAAAATGTATTTTTGATTGTATCACAAAAATACGTCTTAATTGAGTCACATCTAATTTTTTTTTTCAAAATTTAATATGGAGATACATTTCATAACCATCACATCTAAGTTTTTTTAAATTTAGTATAGAATACATTGCATAACCACTCCATATAAACCATATATTCTTTATGGATACGTCTATTTTGGCATAAATTAATTTGAAGATGCATCTTCATATTCATACTATTTCAGTTAAGATTATATCACTCTTCAAATGCATATGACCTCGAACATTGAAAATATTTCAATGATAAAATATAGTAAATAATAGGATAATTTCTTATAAAAGAAAAGTATTTTTTTTTATAGAAAATATATCTCACTAGACGTGTCAATTTGTTCGCAGGTGTTTTTAGTGAACAATCACGAGTTTAAAATCTTTTAGATTAACTTAAAAAATTTCGAAAATAATTTTGCGCAAATTTTTTTACAAGAAGGTATGTGTATAACTACAAATGTCTGAGTGTAAACAGTGTAAAAGTATACTTTAAAGATAATATAGCTTGAATTAAAGTGAACGGAGTTTAAAGTGAACAACATTAAATAAATGCAGTAAATGACAAAAGAAAATGGTGTTTCAATTAAGGAAACATAAAAAAAAAAGTACAAAGAAAATCACGCATACTCACATATTACTCATAAATTGTTTCACGCTTTGACTTGGGTACTTCAGTTCTATAAAGAAAGTAAATGAAATTTGCGACCTCAGTTGCAATATATGAGTTTACTATATATACTAACTAAAGATAATTGTGATTCGATAGTTCACTTTTAAAGAATTGACGTGTCTTCAAATGCATGCAACTCGTATTCCAATGTACTGTCACGTCGTCAGCCCTTTGAAATTGCTGAAAACCATTATCACATGTTCTCTAACTGCTCTTGGCGATTAGTAATTGCTTGGCTGTCGAAGGTAGTTATTGATAATGCTAAGTCCCTTCTATTTTTGGTTTCCTTAATTTTCTAAGTCTTTGGAACTTGTCAAAAGTCTTGTCCTCGACATGGTGTTGAGTACTTACCCATATCTGCTCATGAGACTCCTTCAAACCTTATATCAAGATCTGCTCTTAAGATTCTTCCAAACTACATCTCAAGATGTCAATCGGGAAGCCTTAGTCGATGTAGGCTTGCTCTTGACTCTTGCCAATCAATGTCAACACTTAGTATTTCACTAATGTAGCATTCATTCTAGCATTTATTTTACTTTTTCTCCTAAGTAAAAACCTCAGGCTAACAGATGCCCCTAAAATACCACTTTCGACCATATGATCAGATGGAAGAAATGTGGTATTTTTTTAAACCTTCGACAATGTTTGCCCAGTCTGTACACATCTACTTCAACAAAACGTCACAGTATTTAATTATTATTCTCTAGTCATTATGACCACTTTACACCAAAACATCACGTCACAATATTTAATTATTATTCTCTAGTCATTATGACCACTTTACACCAAAACATCACGTCACAGATGTGCGTGCAATCGATCATGATCACTCATATTTTCTAGGAGATTCAAATAAAAATGAAATCATGAAAAACTCTCTTAATTCCATTTTCATATTTCCTCATGACCTTTTTGATGCCATCTTTCGACTCAAACACGCCACGTGGCTAAGGTCATTTGGAGGGGGGGAAACTGAATCGTTTCCTCCTTTAGGTATTTAACATGTTACCCCTTAATTTTTTCTTCTCTCTCACACGTTCATATTTCTGAAACGCAGACAAATAAGAACCTTTGAGAGTTTTTTCCTTAAAGTTATCTTTATTCTCCACTAATCTCTTCCTTAAAAAGCTTTCATCTACCATAATTGCACCTAAATATGAGTCTCATCCTCCTTTCAATGTTGAATTGACGCATTATTGTATGTCAATGACTGGGCATATGTTCCTGAAGCCCCCACGAAAGATGGAAGAAGGAACTTATGGTATCGTGCTTCTCTCATCCCTTACACTCTTAATGGTTTTGTGCACGAGTTCATGGGTCCACTCCCCTAGCGCATCAAGAAACCTCACATGCTGAAGGAATTCTTTCCTAATTACCCTGGTTACGAACCATTGGTGTTCATTGATAAATCATTCAACTTAAACTTCTTCAAGAACAGAGTGTTTTGTTATGCCCCTCCCACTGAGGATGTTGATTACATTAAACAGCCAAATAGGATGGAAGAGAAGAATAAGCACTTTTGGAGGGATTTTGGCCTTTTGGCCTAATCTAGCTGTCAATAGTTGGTCCGTCATACAATTCACACATGCTCATTTCTGCTATGTGCTTATGGGAAATGTCAACCAACACGTTCCACATTCCTTGTGGAATGATAACTCCCACCCTTTTTAACGTTGCTACTATGGTTGGCCTTCGACCAACTCAAGAGGCCTTTGAGCCTTCAACAAATTAGGTGAAAGTGATTTTTATAGACATTGTTAAATAAATTAGGTGAAGGTGATTTTTATAGACAGTGTTGAATATATAATGTTCAATACAAACACTTTCCTCTTTGCATTTTATTGTTTGAGCAATAAGTGGCTTAGTAATTGTGACAGAAAAGCCATTAACATAGGACTAAATTAACTCACCATCGTGACCAGATGGCCCAACACATGCATTTAAGCAGAACTCTTTAATGAGATTAATATAGATGGGCCCATTGAGAATGTCAAAGTAACTGTTCAACTTTTGTTTGCGAAAAGTTGTCCTTAGATCAAAATTTTTGTCTTTTAAATCATCAAAATCGACAAAATTTTCATTGATTACGAACAAAAGATTTTCATCAAAGATTGTTGAAGACATTTTTGAAGAAAAGAAAATACTTTTAAAGTAGGTTTGAAGACACAAAGAAATGGAAATGAGACATTCAAACAAGGAATTATGTTTAAATAAAGTGGATATGAGAATAGGAAGTGAAACAATCAGAGAAGCTAAAACGCCTTGAAAATTTGTTCACGCGATAAAGCAGCAAGCAAAAATTTATTGAGTACCCGATTTATGTCGTCTCCACAGGGATCGGTGCAAGGGATAGAACGTCATTCAATGGTCTCTATGTTTCTAAGCTTGTTGTGAAAATTTTGGTTGAAAGATTCAAGGTACAATAGATAAAAGCGGAAAATATAAAGTAAAGACTTAAAATAAACAGAGCCTTGTTGGGATTGGAATTTCATCAATTAATAACACATACATTCTTTTGACCAGTTAAACACAAATCAATCATTCGTCTCATACCCTCGCGTATCATTCATAATCGAGGTTATGTCTAACGCAAAGTCGAGAGAACAACTGTATTATCTCATTGGTGATGTCTCATGCAACTCACAGTACAAGGCATTAAGAATTGATACTCACGCAAATGTTAAATCTAAATCTACGTCTATAGTTTAGAACCTAACAGGTATTCATCCTAGATCCAGATCTAAAGAGTATATGTCTATAGTGGTTCAAACCATTGTGTAAACAAGGATAACATCCATATCAGAAAAATGATTTATTCATATCAAACGCTGTGATCAGAATACATACATATGATTAACCCTTTTTAACATGTATTCAACTAATTTATGTATGTGAACATTGAAGGTGAGATAATACTTAGAAGGGGGGTTGAATAAGTATGAAAGATTAAGACTAAAAAAATAATCACACAATTATTTTTATCCTGGTTCGTTTAAACAACTACTCCAGTCCACCCTTCCTAGAGTGATTTGCCTTTCTCAACAAGGACTTAATCCACTATTAAATCAAACTGATTACAATAGTAACACCTAAGAACAACTGTTCTTAGTCTTCTCAAGAGCTACTGATTCCAACTGAATCCTCTTAAGGAAATCCTTTATAATCAATATAAATTAAATACAGGAGTATTCATGCTTCTTTGAAGCTTTTATCACAACAGTGATTTTTCTCTTAAGTTTAAGTACAAGAAATTCTAAGAAGAATATGAAAGAATGAGAGCTTAGAATAATATGATTTCTTTTCAGCAAATTGTGTAACTGAAGAATGTGGTGGAGTTCTCCTTTTATAGGCAGCTGATCCAAGGATGCTGAGCGTTGAAAAGAGAGTCCCAAAAAGGTCTGAGCCTTTTTGTCTTCATATCAAGTGACCTTTCCTTGAAGTAGATAACACAGAAAAATCCTTTTTGTCTGTGTAATTGTGTCTAGCACAAAAGAGGAAAAAGACGTTGATTTACTCCAACGGATATATTCTTGAATATTTCTTCTTCAGTTTTCAGCAAGTTCTTCAGAGTCTGAATGGATCAGAGTCTTCTAATGATATTCAGAACTTTGCTGTATCAGAGTCTTCTGCAGCATGTGTGCTTTCAGC